ACAGACAAAAAAAAAAAAATTAAAAAAATTAAATAAAAACACACATCATGGTAAAATCAATACATTCATCGCTCCGCTCAGAACCTAAAATGTGGTATTATTATTATAATATGTGACCATGGCACTACTTTTTTTTTTTTGAAGTCAATATTTATTTATTTTAATTAATTACTACAAACCAGAGACGAGTTTTTTTTTTTGGCGTTTATTGAGAATTTACCATCTGTAAGTAAATATGACACAAAAGTCGCTGCTAGACGTCAGTATCTTGCGTATACATATGTATACTATATCTACTGACTATTATAGTATATGTATACAACACTTTAAGTTTAGTGCCAATTAGTGATAGCCGATAGGACTGCTATATTTTTACAAAGTAATAGATTTATTGGTATAACCAGTGACGGATTTAGAGAAGTTCTTGGGAGCTGAAGTACTTATTGTTCCGCATATTATGGATTTTTTTTTATTACTAAACTAGTAGTTAACAATTTAGTATTTAACAATATAGAATAATATATTATCACTATAAATACCGAAATATTTTATTTTTAAATTGTTACTTTYAATAATCTAATTTACTTACATAACTATTAATATAAAATATTTTAGGTATATTTCTTCTACTCTACCAGACACCTTGTTTTTTTTAAACTTAAGTAGTTTAGTACGCTGAAAACGATGGTGAAGTCAGAATTTAATGTCGGAGTAAGAGTTTTACAAAAAAAAAAAATGCAAAATCACCACAAAATGAATAAGAACTGTACTGAACGCTATATAGTGTATATTAAGATACTAAACATGTGATGTTACTAATGTTTAACAGTTCAATGTAGGATATTGMTTCTTAGGTGATAATAGTAGAAGATAAATAAATTAACTAAATAGATAAGTTTTCAAGTTAAGGATAATTATATTCACATAAATAGAAGGTGGGGGCTTTGCCTCAACAAAATTATTTTGGCTCCCTTATATAATTAAAATCTTCAAACCCATATATTAGATTGATTCAAAATAAATACATTGCAAAGTAAAATGCTGCATGTGACGCAGATATTCAACATCAGTGCTAACAATATCATCGCAATAAACATAATTTTATAAATCATAAGACATTCTGTAAGTGCATTTGTATTTTGATGTCAAGTTTCATATTGATCTATTCATTTATGGAATACTCAAATTCAATCAAAATGAAAACTGTATAATGCACCAACACTTTTAAAACTACAGTAAATGATAATATATCTGATTTTAAATTTGTTAAGGAAAGCTTGAAACATTAGTTTCAATTACTAATTAGTATTCATGAAGAAAAATGAAATGAAAGTTAAAATAATTATTTTATTATTTATAAATTTTTATAGAGGAGCAAAAGCAAGCTTCCAAGCTTCCAAAAGTTAATATTTAGGAAAATTTATAGTGCACTCTAATGCTTAAGTCCCCCCCAYCCCCCTGAGTTTTTTTTATTTTAAATACTTGCACAACTGAATGTTGATTATTCATAATATTTTTGAATATTACATTTATATTATATTATATTTTTTTTTTTATAAATATACCTATAACATAATGCTGACACATTTTTCTGAGTAAAATATTTCATATCGCCTCGAAAAAACAAATATTACCAATTATAGATGAGTTACATTTATTAAAAAAATTGGTTAATATAAATATTTACCAATAATTTAATAAACAAATAACTTAAAAATTATGTTCAATGATTTACCAAGACTTTATTTGGTAATCATAAGCATGCATGTGCTCAAACACAATCTACAATGTTTACATAATTCATTATTAATACTTACTACACTGTTCAATTTCATCATCTTTATCAGAATCATGTTTATTCGTCGAAGACATGTTGTTAAAAACCAATCATACGACGAAACAAACCATAACTGAATGTAATGCATTGTTGATCATGTTATGTGTCGTTTGAGTTCAACATGATCAATCAAATTACTGATAATCATTTTCAGTTTAAAGAATTGAAATATAATTAAAATGAGTTAAAAATAACTAGTAAATAATAGGTATATTACGTAGAAATTAAACTTTAACAAGGTAAAACTACTGTACTCACCATAGCTGATTGTGTTTAAACACTGAATGCTGACTGCTTACTTGAACAAATCTGGTAAAAAACTTATGTTGTTCCATCATAAATTAGTGTTTTTGTAAAGAAATTCATTATTTATATACTGATGCAATTCAGAATTATAATAATTATGAAAAGTTAAAGTTCTGAAATTAGTTGGGGTTTAAAAACTTTTTATCACATTTTTATCACTGTATCACATAATATTGTTTTTGAGACCATGGTATGAATTGCACAGAGGTTGTAAATATTATGTTCTATACAATCGTTATGTATCGATGTCGGTACACGTCCGGCTTGGTTGTTAAGATGGAAGATAATAATATTATATAGTCTGTATACCACGATTAAAGATAGTATCTTTAATCGTGCTGTATACACAGCTGCTGATATCTCTATTATACTATAGATATCTATATCTATAATATAGAATAGATATCAGCTGTGTCTGTATACAACATAGAGTAATTACTCTATGGTATACAACAAAAAGTTGTTAGGGCCAGTAAGTTGTACCGTCTCTGATTAAAGTTAACCGGAGTTTAATCGGCCGAATTTGCACGGTTAAATATCTGTTATCAGCTGATTAAGCGTAATCGAAGTTTAACCGTAGACGGTACAACTGGCCCTTAGTAAGTTCCACGATACTAGATGGTATACTATCTTAAATCGTGGTAAGTTCTATAATTGTATCTATTCTGTGATAAACTGATAAGTTGTTGTATGTTGATATTAAATTTTATCAAATTATTATGTATACATATTTAGTATACTACTAATATTACTACATAGTAAGTCGTTGTATGTATAATTTACTAAATTATTTCATACTACATTGTCTACATTATAGGTATACACTATAACTATAAGTGGATCAAAAAAATATTTTCAGAATAATTATATTATTGTTTTATTTTTTATTTTTTTTWAAAATAATTTTATGTTTGTATTTTAATTTATTAATTATTATTTTTTTTTTACTCATTACAATTAAAAATTATTAAAATTAAATTTGAAGATAAACAATTGATGCCAAACGAACACATTTTTTCTTCTTCCCGTTGCATTTCATCAGGTAATAAATATCTATAGCCTATTACTAATATACATAAAATATGTTAACTGACTTTCAGATGATTATGTCGAATRTTTTTAATGGTACCTGCCTTTTTATTTTATAATAATTTAATTCATAATTTGATATCTATTTAAAATTCTCAATTTTTTATAAATTAAAATATTTCATGGACAACTATCATGATATTTTAAATTTYATGAATTCTGAACTACACTTATTGWTAGAAAAATGAGGACTGAAAATATTTTATTTATGATTATAATATTATAATATTTTTATTATGATCAGTGAAAGTGAGAATATGTATAAGTATTGAGTACTGAATTTGTTTATTTTATAGAAATACAATTTTAAGTCATTAATTTACTATATACGAGATTATATATTGCCCTTGTATTATAACAATTTACAATTTACCAATTCAAATTCAATTAAATGAGCATAACACAGTATGTAAATCGTAACAGTCTGTTAGTCATTAATTATTTTAGCATTTTACTCCTAATGTGAATTTTTGGACTAAAGTTATTGTTTGTCATTTATACAAGTTAAAAAATAAACCATAATTTAATGTCTTAATAATTTAAACATTTCTTTATAGATGGTATAATTTTTATTGTCTTCTATAGTTTTATTATTTATTTTATGATAAAAGTAAAAAGACTTTTTATTTATTATAAATAATATTATTGATTGAGTTTGTACTTTGTAAATTTATAATTTATAAAAAAAGTTGTTATGAAAATCATAAACTTATTGGATATAGATAGTATAGTCAGCAATTGTTGTGATCATTTTTTTTGGAAGATGATTCTATTAATTTACTATTTGATATTGATATTTTTTGGAATATTTTAAAAAATATTGGATAAATATGACAGATTACTTTTTAATAATACCCATTTACCAATGACATATTATAAGCAAACTATATTTTATGGGTATAATGATTCTGTATTCCTGTCCTATGAAATCAACCAAATTTCATTTATTTTTTTTTTAAATTAATATAAGTAGGGTTATATTTTACAGATCACATTGGCGATGAGCTTAGTTTTTTAATATTTTAATTTCTATTTTAACATTACGTTTTTCAAAATAAGAAAAATTAAGCTTTTTTCATAAATTATTTTATRATATCATTTGAAATAAATTTAAAAAATCGGATTTTAATATGTAGCCAGTAGGAAGTTTTCTTCATTAAGATAAAAAAAATGTTTATCAGAATCTGACAATTCTATCAGGCCTGAAAATTTTTTACGTGAAGTCATTTTTGTTGATATAATATATCAACCTCGAGCTGTAGATTAACGAAAAGTATAATAATTAAGATAGTTACTAAAATATAAAATAAAATTTTCAAATTTAATGCAAATGTAGAAATTTTGAAAAATCAGAACTGGGCTCCTAAAAATATAAAAATATAAGCTTAATATATCCATTGTATTGTCTATATATTTATATTTTA